TATGTTGAACTATATTAGTAGACCAATGAGGCAATTCCTAAAATATGCTCTTCTTAACCCAATTATGGGTTTTACCAAAGTCGGGTTACTTTTGCTTGCCTAATTTTAAGCCAAAGATAATTTTATGAAGTTGATTCACTATATTTAATATCCAAATTATGTTGAACTATATTAGTAGACCAATGAGGCAATTCCTAAAATATGCTCTTCTTAACCCAATTATGGGTTTTACCAAAGTCGGGTTACTTTTGCTTGCCTAATTTTAAGCCAAAGATAATTTTATGAAGTTGATTCACTATATTTAATACAGCTATGCCACTCAATTCTTGTGGTGGTAAAGAGTTCTTAACTACCAACTTCTTAAAAGAGCATCAATCATGACGAAATTGATGATTGAGAGGCAAAAATTGATGATGACAATCAAACCAACAAGGTTTACCACCATTCTTCAATCTAAATGATTTAATATCCCTCATACAATGTGGATAAGTTAATCTCCCATGAGTACTCCATCCAGATAACATTCCATAAGCTGGAAAATCACTTATTGTCCACATTAGAGCTACTTTCATAATAAAATTCTGCCTTTTCAATGCATCAAAAGTATTAACCCTAATGTTCCATAAGATTTTCAACTCATCAATTAGAGGTTCTAAATAAATATCTAAACTTTTACCAGGTGACTTAGGTCCAGGAATCACAAGAGTAAGAAATATGAATTTTCTTTTCATACACATACTTGGAGGAAGATTTTAAGGTGTGACAAAAACAGGCCAACATGAATATGGGTTTCCTAAATTACTGAATGGATTAAAACCATCTGTGCAAAGTCCAAGTCTAACATTTCTTGGATCTTGAGCAAATGTAGGATGTGTTTCATTGAATATTTTCCAAGCTTGTGCTTCAGCTGGATGTGTCATCATTGAGTCATCTTGGCACACTCCATCTGCATGCCAACACATATATTTCGAAGTATTAATAGACATAAATAGGCATTGGAGTCTTGGAACAATGGGGAAATATCTCAACATTGAGTAAGGCACATCTTTATTCTTTGAATATGTCTTCCGATTAAATCGTGGTTCTTTACACACCAAGCAAGCATTCTTGTCACTATTTTCTTTGTAATATAGCATGCAATGATTAGGACATGTATCTATCTTTTCTTATCCTAATCCCAACTCATTAACCATTCTCTTCGATCTATACAAATTTTCAGGCAACCTTTCTGAATCCGGAAGCATGCTTTTGATTATAGCAATCATTCAATCATAACAATTAACACTCATGTTAAACTCTGACTTAGGTTTAATAGTTGTGTTATGGCAGATAACTTCGTATGCTTCTTACAACCATCCCATAAAGGTTCATCAACATCCTTTAATAAGTTAAAAAACTTCTTAGCTGATGGATTTGGGTCCTCTTGCACCTCTTCTACTTTTGGATTTAATCTAACATAAGTAGCATCCATAACCATATCAACATATGGACTTCTATTATCCTCATTATGTTCTTGAAAGACAGAAGTTGATACATCATCGATCCATTTTTCCTCACCATGAAGGATCCAATTTGTGTAACCATCCATAAATCCATGGTGATACAAATGCTTTTCCATATTAAATGACACATCCCAATAACGATTCCTACATTTTCCACATGGACAACGAATACGCCCTGCTACATCAGCAAATTTCGGATCTCTTGTCGCTATTTGAATAAAATCATCAACAACGTTTCTGAATTCTTTAGTTATAATGTCGAATAGATTATTTTTTTTGTAACATCCATCTTCGATCTGGTCTCATTACTCTTGCAACTAGTTTAACAAAATAAAAAAATTTATATTTTCAAGAAATAAATTATTATTATGTTTAACATCAACTTGACAAACTATTTGGAAATGCAAGAGATATAAGGGAATTCGAAACCGAAAACATTTAAGTCCTCAACTTTCTCTCGTTTCTCTCTCTCTCTCTCTCCCTTTATATATGAAAGATAAAAAGCATTAAGTTTATTGTTTTCAAGTAAAAGTAGCATAAACTGTAAAAGATTGTCATAACTAACTATTTCAGAAACATATTTTGTTAGGTGAAAGCACTATCAAACACACCTACATGGGCATTGGCATAAAGAATTTGATCACATCTCAAGAAAGATTTATTTCGAAAGCTAACGTAATGATATTCAGTAGATGCATGTAAATGGTTTTATATCTAAGTGCTAGTCTGGTTTTTAGAAATGCTCATATTGAAAAAAAAAATTTATGTAAAAAGCATATAAAAATTGCAGAAGCAAGTAATATTAGCTTCAAGCTTACATGTGTCAAACTATCTTGGACGTGTTCCCAAACACACAGTAAAACAAAGATTATCACAATCCAATCTTTTGCGTATATTATAAAATTTGAAGGTTAATCAAAACAAGGTAGATGGGGCCAAGGGCACTTCATAGAATCTAGATACAGAGACAGTAAACTTTGATAAGTTGAACTATCAACAATTAAATTTTGAAAATGACTAAACAAAATTGTTGCATCTTAAAGCCACAAAATCACACTAAGCCTTACATGTTTGACATAAATTATGTATCAGAATAATTAAGTTCCCAAACAATTTCACTCTACATTTTTTTTTACCATGAGAAGTATAAAGTCTTATGCCCTTATCCATCTACACGGGGTTGCTTGATCAATGTCATTTAAATCTGTAGACCCCAAATTTTGCTTGACTTCCCAATAAAGCCGAAGATAATCTGTTTTGAAGATGATCAAGACTTTGTTAAGTCCCTAGTAGCTTTTTCTAGGTTCCATTTAAGATAGGAAGGATTTTCAGAGGCAATAAAAATCGAAAATTTCATTGGGAACAACAGATGGTCGTCCAGGACAGTCAGACGGTCGTCCATGCCTACTTTAAGGCAATGGACGACCGTCCACTTGGCTTAGACGACCCTCCATGACAACTTTTGGCTATGGACGACCGTCCACCCTACATGGACGACCGTCCATTGCCACTTTTTCCTATGGACGGCCGTCCACTTAGCCCAGACAACCTTCCACTTTTCTTGGCACAATTCCCTATAAATATGCCTCATTTCTCACTTTTCCATACACCTCTCCACTCTTACACTCTCTAGGAAGCCTTTTGGCACTTTAGAGTGATTCTGAGCATTATTCCAGAGTTCGAGTGAGCTTTTCGATTTCCATTTAAGGTAGAAATCGGTTAAGGAAGTCTCCTTTTGAGACGTCCGGCCCTCGGTAGGGTGGTACTCTTATTTTTTGTTCGAGAGAGGAGTGACTCTGTAGAGTGCGGGGACTGCCAAAAAGCGTCCTCAAGTTTGAGATTTATAAAAGTTTGCTTCGGAGGTTCTCCTTCATATCTCTTATCTTTTACTGCTTTCCTTATATGCATTAGATATTATGATCATATAGACATATAAATTATGCCAGTAGATCAAATAATAGGATAAAAGCATACTTTTTTTAAGTATTTATTTTCTAAACTTGTCCATCATAGGAACCCGAAAGGGGCGTTGTGGGGTGCTAACACCTTTCCCACATGTAACTAACTCCCTTACCCAACTCTGGTTGTAATGACCAAAGTTGGTTTTATCTAAAACCACTGCCTTCTTCTTTTTTTCACCTTTTTCAGTGTTTAAGGTTAAAACAATGATGGCAACTCCTCAAACCCTTTCGAAAACCTCGCCTTTAGGTCCAACCTGATTATTGGATAACCTAAAAGCGTTGAACCACTTCTTTCAAAAAACGTGAGTCAATCAAAACCATCGCGTCGCTCCAACCGCATCTTTTGACAGCAGTGACAAACTCTATGAAAAACTATTTATCTTGTTTTGTTTTAGATAATTTCAGCTGGTTATTTCCGAATATGAACTTATGTACAAAATGTATTGATTTTCAGTTTAGATACTCATTTCACAAGATGACAACAATCTGCCTTGTCTCACTAGGTTGTGCGAATTAGCTTTGTCTACAAAAATATACATTACCCATTAATACCCTACCCCAAACATAAAACTATTGTTCATGTGATTCAGCTCAGTTCACCAAATTGATTGTGTGCCAAAAATAAGCTTCATACAAATATATTAAAAATAAAACTTACATTTTGTCTAACGTAAAATATATTGAATTTCTAAAATGTGTGTCAGGATTCCACCATCTAATTGCAGTTTAGTTGTATGCCTACTTGTAGCACCAACCACGTTGTCATGGTTAGAACCAAACAAGTCGATGACTTATATGTAAATCTTGCAGGAGAATAGAAAACCAAATATGATTACTTGACATAACTATCAAGGAACAATCCAAGAATCATACAACCAAATTGTTGCCAGTAAATTCAATGTCAAAATCAGGTTAAAACTAGAATCCTAGCAATCATAATATAAACCCAAAATTAATGAGTTTTGCATAGGCTTCAGTTTTAGAAGGAAACAACTAAAGAAATATAGTATCAACTAACGATTCCATGGATATAAATCCACAACGAACCAAATTCAGGATAAAAATATATGTTTAATGGCATGGTTAAATGATAGAAACCTCACTCAAATTATAGAAAATACTAAGATCAGTTTTTATATTCTATAACAGATTCCCACCTATTCCTAACCCATCTCCCACTGTGTTAAAAAGTCATTACAAAGCTCTCTCCCCCCACCCCCACCCCCACCCCTAACCCCAACCCCAACCCCTTTTCTCATGTATCCAAGTAGGAAAATCCAAGTACCCAATTCTCGGTTGTCCCTTCCCATTATCCTGGCTTGCACCCACATAATATAGAGGTTCCAAACATATACTCATAATATAACATGCACTCATACATTTAACAATTAACCCAGTTTGAATAGGGATACAATATACACAAATATCAAAAAATAAATGCCATATTTTTGCATCATTAGCAGAGATAAATGACTTAATTAGAAAATAGAAACAGACTGCTAACAAAATATTAAAAAAAGGGGTTAAAGAAACACACCGTGGACTCTTGAAACTCAGCTCCAAAATAGCCACTTGAAACACGAAATCGGTTGTCCAATAACAGATAGTATGCCATAGTACCCTGAAATATACGGATGGTAGTAAGAGATAATCTGGTAGGTGTAGAAAGAGAATCATAGACACAAACCTCATTTTGTATCCTGTTCCGAAGAGATTCAACCAATTGATTCCTGTACCGGCAGCGGCAACGACGCGACAACAGTGCGGTAGCGGGAGCAGCGATAACGGGAGCGACGACAATGGGAGCGATGACAGCGGCACCAGTAACAAATGCAGTCTAGGTCTTAACTGAAAATGAAAAAAAGAGACGTAGTTGGAAGGGGAAGGGAATTTTGGGAAAAAAATTAATTTAATTTTTTTATTAAAAAATTATAAAATTTTTATAAATTAAAAAAATATTTTTATTATTATATTAAATGTGTTTATATTTAAAATAATATTTAATTAAATAAATATTTTAATATAATAATTTTTTTATAAAGACTAATTTCCAAAAAAATTATTTATAAAATTTTCTATTAATTTAAATTATTAAATACTTCCTACAAATTTAAATTTATAAAAAAATTGCAGAAAATAATTTTAAATATTTATCAATTTTTTAAGATATTTTTTCAAAAAAAATTATGATTATTTTCAAATAATTTATTTCGAGACATAGAATAATATATATATATATATATATATATATATAAATATATAATTTATATATTTATAGTAAATTTGGTAAAAATATTTTCAAATAATTTTATAATTATTTTTTTGCTATAAATTTACTACAATTTAACTATGATTGTATGTTATATAATTTAGCTATAAAATAGCTTCAAAAAATAACATAGTTAATATTTATAGCTAGAGATTAGTGAAAAAAATTTTCCTAGCTAAATAACTTTTCTGCTAAGTGAGGGAATAACTACGAAAATATTATCTTCTAGCTATTTTACCATAGATTAGCTACAACTTTATTTCTTCACTATTCCATAGCTAATTAGCTACAAATAAGTGAAAAATAAATTTTGTAGAAAATTTTCTTAGCTAATTATGAAATTTCTTGTGGTGGTAATGGAAACAACAAATTGTAAAAGTCTGTAGAATGTCAACCTCCAAGAACAAGTGTGATTAACAATGAAAGTGCAGAAGACAATATGAAAAAGTTTTCTCAGAAAACCTAAAAGTGCTCTTTTGTCTTGCTCAAAATGCTTTTCTTAAAACTGAATGAATGTAAAATTGTATTTTCGAATTCTATAATTGTGTATTTTTTATTTTTCATCAAAACTCATTTAAATAGGAAAATAACATCAGAAAATAGTCGTTGATCATTAATAATTTCGTAGAAAAAAATCAGGATGTATCCAAAAATATTTATTCTTCAAAAATGGATATATTTTTCAAATTTAAACTGTCATAATCGATTATGTTACCAGTATAATCGATTATGACAAAGATAAAATCGTTTTTCCATTTCTGATGCATCATAATTGATTATGATAGTAAAAATGTCATTTTATAAAATTTTATCGCACTTGTGCTTTGGAAGCTTATGTATAATACCACTTTATCAACTTGTACCTCCATATCCAATATTCTAAGACTCTATCTAGTCTTCAGGAATCATCTTGAGTTTGCTTGATGTTTGAATGAAATCTTTATCAAAATCAGATCTTAGGCTTGTTTGAGTCTTGAATGTTATTGATTTGAATCATCATCAAAATCATCTCTTGGGAATGTAGGGATATGTTTCACATTTCCATCAATCTCCCCCTCAATGCTTTCAATTTTTGCATTAGTGTACATAACGAACGTAAAAGCTTCTATTATTTTCTCATTATTATTTTCTAGCACAGCGTCAATGTCGAAAAAAGCTTTAGTAGCCACATGAAACATTTCTTCAATAGAATAGTTTTTAACTCATTCTTCCTTTATGATTCACCCAAAATAAACTTCTGTGGTGTAATCTAAATCATTTTCTTATCTAGCAAAGAAAGTTAGAAATATCATGATATAAAATATGTTTTGCAAATGAGAGAAAAAGGGAAAGGAGAAGTACTTTCTCGTTGTTGTTATCTCTTGCAGTGAAGTTATATTAGAGACATTCATGGTCAAGAGAGACATTTCACAAATGAGACAAAGATGGTGTGGAGGAGAAAAGTCGAATCATAATGAAGAGAGGAAGAAAAGGAGAAATGTAATGGAGGAGGGGAGGAAAAAGTAAAAGAGAAGAGGAGAAATGATAGTTGAGGGTGTAGAAACGAATTTACCTAATTATAATGAGACATATAACAACAGTTATATCTACAACTGCCATTATATGTAACCACTACTAGAAAAATGGTTAATAGTGACCGAAATTAGTAACCGAAAAATTCAGTCACTAATAGTAACTCGAATCAGTGGATCGATTTCCGTTTTATATTTAGTGACCGATTTAGTGACTAAAATTTCGATCACTGAAATCGATCATCGATTCGGTCACCAAATCGATCATCTGATTCGGTCACTACTAGAAAAAATGATTAATAGTGATCGAAATTAGTGATCTGAAAAATTCGATTACTAATAGTAATCGAATCGATGATCGATTTCTCTTTTTATATATAGTGACTGATTTAGTGACTAAAATTTCGATCACTAAACAAATAATATATAAATTAGTGACCATTTTTTATTTATATAAATAATTTTTAAAAATATTTTAATAATATATTAAATATAAATCTACTTAATAATTTAAAATAATTGATAAAAATTTTAATAACATTATAAAAAATTTAAAAAATAGTTTATTAACTTATTAAATAATTTAGTAATATAATTATATGATTTTATTTTTTAATTTAGTATGTGAATAAAAAAAATTAAAATTAATTATTAAATTAGTCACCGATTCGATCATTAAAGTAATTATTAATTTAATCTTTTATATATATATATATAATCAATTATTAAATTAATTATTAATTTAGTCTCTTTTTGATATATATATATATATATATATATATATATATATTACTTTTATGTTAATAAAAATGTATTTCAATGTATTTATAAAAAAATTAAAATTATTTTAATTATTGAATTGATATTTTAAATTTATATTAATATTCTAAATAATTTAGTAATTGGATAAATATTTTAAGTTTATATTAGTATTTTTATAAAAGTGTAAAGATTAAGTGAACTTATTTTAAAATTTAATTAAACATAATAATATAATATACTATTAACCATAAATATGTGAAGATTTAGTTAGAAATTAATTTTAAGTTTTATCGTTTTTATTTAAAAAAATTGTTTAAAAAAATCAAAATAATTAATTAAAATAAAGAATTTTAATTTAATAAATGTGTTAATATTATTAGTTATTGGAGAATTAAATTTATAATAATAATTATATTAAATTATAGAATTAATAAAATTTAAATTATTGGTATTTTTTTAATCATGAAGCTAAAATTTGATAATATTAATAAATTAAAAAAAATTATATATATATATATATATATCACTTAATTATGTTAATTAAAAATAATTTCATAAAAAAACTAATATTTGAAAATAAAAATGCAAAAGTATATAGTTTTTCTTTGATTGAATTATATTTTTTATTTTTTACTTTTTGGGTTTTAGTCCATAACAACAATTTAGTTGCTCTAATTTCCACAAAAATATATAATTTCTCTTATTAACAAATTTTTTTAATCAGATTAAGAAAATTATTACTAATAAGATTCAAAACCAGTACCTTAGAGTTAGACACTAATACTCCAACTACTAAATCTGTTAGAATTTTTTAATAAAAAATTACAAATAAATTATATTTATATACAAATAAATGTATATCCGTGTAAATATATAAATACAAATATATTTATATATTTTGATATATTTATATGTTCGATGTGAGGATCACACTAGAGGGTGAAAGTGTGTGTCGAGTGAGTTTTCAAAATTTGATGTCAAATTTGTGAGCGAGTCTCTTTATATGAATTTTTAATTTAATGATAGAGTATAATCTTTATAATTTATTTATATAATGATATAAAACAATTGTTTTCTTTATTTATTTTTATTTTATTTTAATTTATTCTTTTTATCTTTTTTTCTTCTATTATTTAATTAAAATTCTTATATTAAAATAAATTTTTCATTATTAAAAATAATTAAATATTTATTTTTAAAATTATTTTTTAAAATTATTTTATTTAACAAATTATTATGAATTAATCTATGTCTGGAAAAAAATAATTATTAAAAGATGATTTTGATTAATTTATAATAATATATGTTAGGAAAAAATTGTTCTATTAATAATCATAATTAGATTAATTTATAATAATTTGTTAAATAAAATAATTTTAAAAATAAATATTTAATTATTTTTTAATATTGAAAAATTTATTTTAATATAAGAATTTTAATTAAATAATAGAAGAAAAAAATATAAGAAGAATAAATTAAAATAAAATAAAAATAAATAAAGAAAAAAATTATTTTATATCATTATATAAATAAATTATAAAGATTATATTGTGTCATTAAATTATAAACTCATATAAAGAGACCAGCTCACAAATTTGACATCAAATTTTAAAAATTCACTCGACACACTTTCAACCTCGAGCGCGCCCTCACATCCAACATATATATATATATATTTGTATTTATATATTTTATATTTATATATTTACACGGATATATATTTTTATTTGTATATAAATATAATTTATTTATAAACTTTTATAAAAAATTCTTAGTAACTTAGTGGTTGGAGTATCGGTTTTAACTCTAAAGTATTGGGTTCGAATTCTGTCAATGAATAATTCTCTCAATTTAATAATAATTTAAATTTCTAAAAAATATATTATAAAAAAATATTTTTAATTTTTTAATGTTTTTGTTAGTAACCGATTTTAATTATTTAGTAACCAAAAATTCGGTCGTTTGTGTTGTAATGCATGCTTATAGTGCTTTCAGCTCTTTCCTCTGCCTTCACCTTCTTTGAATGTTCTTCCTCACTCACGTGTTCTAGAGCCAACACATTATGCAGTACCCATAACATCATCCAAAAGGAATCAATGGTCAAAGTAGATAAAAACATTAGCAAGATAACATTTAAAACTCACACATCTATGCATCTAGTTTCAGTAAAATCCTACCCTCTCAGTCATCTACGCCTTTAGTGTTCAGTTGAGTTTTCTAGTTCACATCCGAAAGAATTTAGTTATTGTGGATTTGCTAATATATCACATTACTTTAAGCTGTTAGATCCATCTTCGGCACATAAATGCTTCTGCTAATGTAGTTGTGAACCAATGTCCGCCTGAAACCGAGAATACTTTAAAACTAAAACAAGGGCGCAGTAAAAAATTACCATGCATCATTCAATTGAATTAGATAATAGTAGCATATATAGATATTTTGATTCATTTAAGTTGATTACGTGAATGAGAAAAAAGTTCTGGACTCAAGTAGTGATATAGCTAAATACTCATATATTGGTTCGGTCCGTTATTGAGTGTCATAATACCAATCAATTTCTAGTTTTGAAATCCAGGTAAAGGCACAGTCAAAAGCGGCTAAACTACATTCTCTTGGAATGTTGAGCCATTTGGAGCTTGGCTTAGTTAGTGGTGAGGTTCTGTTAGGCTTACGCTGTTGGGTTTAACAGAGAGGTAAGAGATAATATATAAGAATATAATATCATCTTTAATTAATAGATTTTGTAAATATATATATATATATATATATATATATATATATATATATATATATTTTTTTTTTTCAAATGTTGTAACTCAACGGTGCCATCATTGTCGGGTCGCTTAAAAAATAATATTTCACTTCTATAAAACCCGGAATACTTATGAATCAAACAATTAATGCAACTAGTGAGATAGCATTTTTTTTATCAATCTTTCTATTCTCCTTCCTCGATTTTCATACTAATGACTGCTGATGTAAGGTTTGTGTAAGTTGTCATTTCTAGTTTTGATGGAGTATACTAATTGATAACTTTTTATTATAAAAAAAATTCTAGATAGTTCTTGAATTTAAAATTCAAGAGTTACCCCATCTATTACAACAAATGTGAAAAAACAAAATTTGAGACAACAATCATGTGAAGTATTATTTTTGTAAGGGGAATACAATGATGACACCATTGATTCATGATACAATTAAGATTACTATTTTAGTTGGGGTTAAAAAATGTTTTCGGTTGAAAGGAGGTGTACCAATATAAACCAAGGTCATGAAAGTAAAAGATTGTTAAAAACTGAGATAAAATATCACAAAGAGTATATTGATTGATAACTTTTTTTTTATCATAAAAAAAAATCTAGACAGTTATTGAATTTAAAATTCAAGAGTGGCCACCAATTCTTGCAACTGATGTGCAAAAAATAAAATTTGAGATAAGAACATTGTGAAGTATTATTTTTTAAGGGAACACACCACTGATATAAGGTTACAATTAAAATATTTGTCATTAAGAAATGTTTTCAGTTGAGGAGAGTATACCAACGTGTATGAGAATCATAATAAAACATTATTAGAAATTGAGATAAAATATCACATTGAGTGTGAATAAGAAAGATAAATAATTTATAATCAAGAAAGACTTGCAATATAATAATTTAAAGTTTTGTGTTGATATATTCTTTTATATATTTTTCTTATGTGTAGAATCCCATAATTAAATGTAACGACGATAATAATCTCCTCTTAAACAGATGTAGCTTTTGCTAATATATTTTCTCAAACTTTTTACGCTTATTTGCATTTCCTTTCAATTTATGAAGGGAGTATCTATATTTAACAAAGAGCTTCTGCAGTCTGTCGCTGTGCCCGGTTGTTTGACATCTACACTCTAGGTTGTGAAATTCATAAACTGCATGAATGCGAGCAAGAGCTTTGTTTGCCTAAATTTATTATGGAAAATGGTTTTGTGCCGGAAAGGACGAGCTTCTCCCTGGTTAGCCATACGTTGGGAAAATTGAAGATTATAGACGAATTTAAAAGAAAAGTTATTCTCATTTAATAAAGGTTTCTCTTTTGCTTTTATTGAATTTTCATATGATGATTAATTAGGTTACGGGAGCAAATAGAATGCCACACCTCTAGCATGTTTTGTAGTTTTGGGGTATGTTATGTGATACTAAAAGTGTACGTAGTACCTATTCAATAGAAAAAGGTTGATTCAGAGTTTTGATGTTAATACATTGTATTAAACTATAAATTAATACATTATCAGCACGATGTATTACTTTCCTTTCAAAAAGTTACCTTATATTAAGAAAATTGTGCAGTTCAGTACTTCGTTAAATGACTTTTTATTGAATGAGATTTTATTTCCAAGATTGAAGGTTGATTGGAAAGGTATTTGTCATATAAAAATGAAAAATCGATAAAGTACGAAAAATAAAAAATGTTTGATAAAGGAAATAACAAATCAATACAAGAGTCCTTTCTGATATATATATATATATATATATATATATATATATATATATATATATATATATATATATATATATATATATATATATATATATATATATATATATATATATATATATATATATATAGAGTATTATTAACATGATATATTTATGGATTATTTGTTTTTGAATTTTAATCTATTACATACACAAAATCCCTATTTGAAAACTAAGAAATAAATATTAATTCTGTTGACATCAATATTTTGTTTAAAAATAAAAATATTTCAATCTCATATAATAATATTATTAGGATCTATTATTATGTTTCAAGTTATTATAAAACTCTAACTCATTAATTTTATCTTTAAAGATATTTTGATGGATTGAAAGAAAAAATGAATATAAATTATAAATTATAGGAGATTTATAAGTTTCTTACTCATTTGTAGAAAAAGCTTTTGATTATTTGATAAAAAAGTTACTGTAGAAAAAGCTTTTCAGTGTTTGATGTAGACAAAACAAATCAATTTTGGATACATGCGCACAGATTGAAGATTTAAAAGTCTTTTTTTAATAATTAATGTAGTATAGAAATCAATGTATACCATTAGTAACGGTGGATAAAGCACGTAAATATTTAGGAATATACTCATACGTAAATCATATTCCACATTATGTACTTTTATAATGTTTATATTTATGTATACTAATAAAATATTGTTAAATAATATGTTTTTACCTTTTTAATTTTTCTTTTTTTTCTTAATTTCCTTATTTATCTTTCATTTTATATTATATTCTCCACCACTTAAAGTATTTTACTTCTTATTGATTGCTTTTATTTCATAGTATTTAGATCTAAATTTTCATTTTTGTTCATTTTTTTTCAAAGTTATCTTATCACTTTAGATAATTTATTTTCATATTATTATAAGATAACATTTTTTAATAACAATTAATTAAAAATCATTATTAAGATACGATAATAATTTTAAAATTAATTTTAACTTTTTAACTGATTATAAAATGAATCATAGTTAAAATAACAATTTTTTTAATAATAATTTTTTATAATTATGACATACGATGATAATTACATATTTAATTATTATTATATATATCCAAGTTTCGTATTATGTGATATATGATAATAATTCTTTTATGTTATTGAACCACTTATAACTCACATACTCTCTTTTCTCCCAACTAAAGATGCTGTTAGCGAAACAAGTGCTTTGTTCGAAGCATGGGAATACCGCTGGACAACCATGACCAAGTTGGAGTTGGATGATAGTGTACTCTTTGATCCAAAGAGGAAAACGGGTGGTACACAGCATTCTATCATCTTGTGTATAGGGCTCTTCTGCTAACTAAAATTTCAAGTATTGAAGCTTTCTCTCGTGATCTCTCACAGGTACCATGCGTCTGTTTTCAATACATGGATATCTAGTATCTTGAACAGGCATGTGAAGAATCTTCATATTTGCTCACGCTTTGTGATCCCCTTAATGCTTATGCATCCTCTTCCCTTTTTGACTCTATGGTAGAACAACCGGTGATGAAGATGATTTTCCCTATTATTCCATAACCTTTATTCATTTTGGTAACCTAAAAAGCCTGAGGTTGAGTTGTGGTATAATTAAGAAGGGGAAAATATATCACTATTGGCCGAATGGAAAATGATAGTCTCTTAGAAGCAGCATCTTACACATGTTCGCTTCTCAGACAATGCTGTGAAGTGAAGTCTCTCAAATTTAATGGGTCGGATGTAAGTATCCTTAAACCATTCTGAACATTATATGGAGATGCCACATGAATGTCTTATGATGAAACCAGATCACCATACTAAAAATCTGCATCAATTGAGGACTTATTATCATCAATTTATAGTTTAATGCACAGCTAATTAGACATTAGTTGAGCTGTAGCACATAAAAATAAATTGATTTGATTTCCAAGGTTATCTTATTGAATCAGTGTTGGACTAAAGCAGAGCATGTGCAAGTTCCCACAGCTAGAATTAGGAGAGATCTATGTTGTAGACAGAGATTGAAGTTGAGTGTACTCCATCATGTTATCGTATATGTAAATCAGATTTTTAAAGTTAGCTAAGTGTTAAGTGGCAAAAGTTAATGTAATTATGTTTTTAATTGTTATTTAATCACTTAAATTATGTTGATTTTAATATATTTTTCTCCAAATGTAGAATGAATTTACAGAATACCTGGGTACAATAGCAAGGATCATAATTCACAAGTTAATTGAAGAAAAATTGGAAAAAAGGAAGAATTTTTTTTGTTCAGCCTAAGAGTCGCCCGAGCGAGACGAACGCTTGCTTGAGTGAAAATACGTTAAAACTCTTTGGAAGTCACTCGCTCGAACGAGACATATACTCGTTTGAGTGAAAATACGTTAAAGCTCTCGGGAATTCAATCACTCAAGCGAAGAATTCTCGCTTGAGCAAAAATCATCATTATTGCCTTGAGCGAACATTCTGCTTAAGCAAATGACGCAAATTTTTTCTATAAAAATATAAAATGTGTTTTGAGAAAAGGGAGTTGGGGGTTTCGAGAAGAAAGACGCAGCAGCTGATCGAGTTTTTGTCCAATTTGCAATTCATCTTCAATTGGATCATTGTAATGACCATCATGAGTGGTTAACTTCATTCTCTTAAGATTGAGTGCACTTCTTTTGAACTCTTTTGTATCTTGATGATATTTTGAGATATTAATTTATGTTCTTGATGTTGTTATTCTTATCCTTTGTGTCTGTTAATGCTTTTATCCTGGATGTTCATATATTTTGGAAAATATATCTTGAATGATTAGGTTAAGAATATTTGATACGTTGATTGCTAGGAATGGTAATGGATGTTTCAATTACTTAACACTCTAAACCTAATGTTGGAAAATCTATTAAATGTATGAACAATCTATGTTTACAAGGTTTTCTTATGAATTTCATGTGTGAGGAATCAACATGGATGATTTGAGTAGGTGACATCAACATTGTTAGGTTAATTGATGATCTTAATTGGACATAGCCATTATACAAATGAGGAAAAAGGAAGTAAGCCAACTTTATGTCTGACTCCATAATGCTCTAGACATTTTTGAAATTGAATATTACAGAAATGTGAACCTCCATCACTAATTAAAACTCTGGGAGTATCAAATCTACAGAATATATTCTTCTTTAAAAACTTTATCATCGTTTTGGCATCAGCTTTTACAGTAGCCACTGCTTCCACCCACTTTAACACATAATCAACTGCTACCAAGATGTATTCTTTAGAGAATGATGATGGGAAAGGTCTTGCAAAATCGATTCCCCAACAGTCAAATATTTCTACTTCCAACATGATGTTCAGGGGCATTTCCTATCTTCTTGATATTCCTCCTGTTCTCTGACAATTATTACATTGTTGAACATAGTTGTGAGCATCCTTAAATAAGGTAGGCTAGAAGAAACCAGATTGGAGGACTTTGCAGTAGTCCTCACTCCATTAAAATGTCCAGCATAAGGGGAACTGTGGCAATGTCATAGAATACTTTTGGCTTCTTTGCTTGTCACACATCTTCTCAACAAATTATCACTTCCTATTTTGTAAAGATAGGGATCATCCCATACAAAATAATGCGCATCTTTAAAGAATTTCTTCCTTCGGTGCCAAGTGTAATCTTCTGGAACAACCCTTGCAGCTTTGAAATTTTCCATGTCAGTAAACCATGACCTTACTTGTACCATCATCAGTTTGTCATCTGGAAATTCCTCCTGTACTTCTAATTGATTATTAGTCACTTTAGTATTGACTAATCTGGATAAATGATCAACTACCAAATTTTCACTGCCCTTTTTGTCCTTGATCACCAAATTAAATTCTTGCAACAATAAAATCCATCTAATTAGTTTGGGTTTAGAATCTAATTTGGTTAACAAATATTTTATTCCTGCATGATCAGTATATATAGTAACAGTTGAACCAATCAAATATGCTCTAAATTTTTCCATTGCATATACTATAACTAACAATTTCTTTTCAGTAGTTGCATAATTAATTTGGGTTGCATTAAGAACTTTACTAGCATAATGTATAGCATGAAAAAATTTAGATTTCCTTTGGCATAAGACTGCTCCTATGGCATAATCACTAGCATCACACATTCATTCAAAATCTAAATTCCAATCAGGCGCAATTATCACAGGTGCTAAAATTAATTTTTTTTTAACAGTGCAAAAGCGTGCAAACATTCAACATTAAAATTAAAAGAAGTATCCTTATTGAGCAAGTTGCTGAGTGGCTTTGCAATCTTTGAGAAGTCTTTTATAAATCTTCTATAGAACCCAGCATGTCCTAGAAAGTTTCTGATGCCCTTCACATTTGTTGGTGGTGGCAATCTTTCGATGATCTATATTTTCGCTTTATCAACTTCAATACCTCTTGCAGAAATCTTATGGCCTAACACCACACCTTCAGTTACCATAAAATGACATTTCTCCCAATTTAAAACCAATTTGGTATCAATACACCACTTCAGTACGGTATTCAGGTTTCTCAAGCAATGGTTAAATGATGCACCAAATACTGAGAAATCATCTATGAAAACTTCTATGCATTGTTCCACCAGATTTGAGAAGATTGCTAGCATGCATCTTTGAAAGGTTGCTAGCATGCATCTTTGAAAGGTTGCTGTAGACCCCAAATCTTGCCCGACTTCCTAATAAAGCCAGAAATCACCTGTTTCGAAGATGGTCAAGAGTTTGTTAAGTCCCTAGTAGCTTTTTCTAAGTTCCATTTAAGATAGGAAGGATTTTTAGAGGTAATAAAAATCAGAAATTTCGTCCGGAACAGCAGATGGCTGTCCAGGATAGTCAAACGGCCATCCATGCCTACTTTAAGGCAATGGACAACCGTCCACTTATCCCAGACTGCCGTCCATGACAACTTTTAGCCATGGGCGACTGTCCACTTTACATAACGGTCGTCCATGCTCACTTTTGCCATGGACGACCGTCCACTTTTCTTGGCACGATTCCCTATAAATAAGAGCTCCATTTCTCGTTTTTCTCAAACTATTCACTCCCACTACTCTCTAGCAAGCCTTTTGGCACTTTAGAGTGACTCTTAGCATTATTCTGGAGTTCGAGTGAGCTTTCCAATTTTTGTTAAGGTAGAAATCGGTTAAGGAGGTCTCTCTTTGAGACATCCGACCCTCGGTAGAGTGAAAATTTTCTCTTTTGCGGAAGGAGCGTGCTTGTAGAGTGCGGGGACTGCCAAAAAGCATCCTCAAGTTTCGAAGAGTTAATATAAAGCTTGCTTCGGAGGTTCCTTCCCTATTCTCTCTCTCTTTTACTGCTTTCTTTATCGCTTTCTTTGTATGATTAGATATTAGGACCATGTAGACATTTAAATTCTGCAAGTAGATAAAATAATAAGGTAAAAACATAATTTCTTTAAGTATTTATCTTTTTGAACTAGTCCATCATAAGGAACCCGAAAGGGGCGTTGTGGGGTGCTAACACCTTCCCCACATGTAACTAACTTCCTTATCCGACTCTGGTTGTAATGACCAAAGTTGGTTTTTTCTAAAACCACTGCCTTTTTACCTTTTTCAGTGTTTAAGGTTAAAACACTGATGGCGACTCCATAGAACCTTTTTTCGAAAACTTCATTCTTAAGATTAGTTTGGTTATCGGACATATTAAGAATGTCAATCATCTTTACAAAAAATGAGAGTCATTCAAAACTATCGCGTCGGCTCGATCGCCTCTTCTGATGGTGGCGACAGTTGTTGGGGCATTGCATAATCCGAATGTCATTTTCCTGTAAGCAAACACACCTAAAGGACAAGTAAAAGCAGTTTTTTCTTGATCTTCTGGATCTACTGCTATTTGATTATACCCTAAATAACCATCCAAAAAACAATAAAAAGCTTGTCCTGCTAACCTTTCTAACATTTGATCCATGAAAGGTAAAGGAAAATAGTCTTTTCTAGTTGCCTGATTCAATTTCCTATAATTTATACACATTCTTCAACCTGTGACAGTCCTAGTAGGTATTAATTCATTTTTATCATTATAAATTATAGTCATACCTCCTTTTTTCGGTACTACCTGAACTGGGCTAACCCAAGCACTGTTAGAGATAGGATAGATCATACCAGCATCCAAAAATTTCAGTACTTCTTTCTTTACCACCTCTTTCATGGTTGGATTAAGACGTCTTTGAGGTTGTGCAACAGGCTTGAAATCATTCTCCATGTGAATCTTATGCATGCAATAAGATGGACTAATTCCTTTGAGATCAGATAAGGTCCACCCTATGA